AGAATCATTGGTTCTTGACCATATGCTACTTCCTGAAATGGTTTCTTGTCAATGAATTCTTTTTAGTGCAGTGACTCTGTGTATTCATTCTTTCCATCTTCTTTTGATGTCCTGGATCATTCAAGATTGTGCTCACAGAATCCTTCAGTATTGCAACTTGAGGCTTGACTTTATTCTTCAGTTCTTCCAACTTGAAAAATAGTGAGTGCGTTTTCTTCCCTGGTTTTCTAACTACAGCTCTCTACACATTCCATTATATGACTTTGTCTTCTCCAGCTGCCTTTTGAAATCTTCTGTTGATCTCTTTTACCTTAGTATTCCTTCCCTTTGTTTTGGCTTCTTGATACTCTAGAGCAACCTTCAGATCTCTTCTGACAGCTCCTTTGGTCTTTTCTTTCTCCTCTGTCGTTGCCATGATCTTTTGCTTGCTATATGGATGATATCCTTGATGTCATCCTACAACTCATGTGGTCTTTGATCATTAGTGTCCAATGCCTCAAGTCTATTTCTGAATATTTTGGTTTTTCATTCAGATGGAAGCAGGAGTGGCATCCACTTCCTAAACAACATGCCTCAGGAAACTATGAACTTTGATAAATGTCGATATTTGTAGAGGGGTTTCAGGCCTTTTGTTCAGAGGGTCGCTTTGAGTCATGCATGACTGGAAGGCAATCAACAACAACAACATTCAGATGGTCTAGACTTAAGGTTGTATTTTGGTTCTTGTGGACTTGCTTTCATTGTCTTCTGGTTCAGTTTGTACCTGCACATGCATAATTGATGACCTGTGTCACAGCCAGCCTTAGCTGCTGGCCCTGGGCCTCTCCATCTACCCTTTCCATAGATGTAGTCGATCTGGTTCCTGTGGAGTCCATCAGGACAGCTGTGAGGTGTCACCAAGTCATTTTCCATTCACAGCAACTCCACATGGCAGAGTAACACTAGCCTAAACCACTTTACAAGTACAGCGAACAAGACACAAAAACAAGGACAGGAAACACTTTATGAAGCAAATCTCCAGGCCTCAAGAGCCCCTGGTGGGTTCAAACCACTAATATTTCTGCTTGCGGCCTATATCTTAAACATTTGCACCACCAGGAATCCTTCAGTACTACTTCCAGGAGCACAAGTGGGAGAGGGGACCAGTGGTCTCTTTGTTGTTATTCTTTTTGTGTACATTGAGTCGGAATAGACTCATAACCAAACCTCCAGTGGGTTTTCAGAGGCAGTAAATCACACAGGAAGAGATTCCCATCTTTCTCCCATGGAGCAGCTGGCGGATTCGAACCACATACCTTTGGGTTGACCACACAAGTCCTTCCCACTAAGCCACCATAGTTCCCTTTTGTTTTTAGGCTCCATCAGGTCAGTTCTAATTCATAGGGACCCTATAAAGATTTACAGCATCAGAAACCCACTAGGTGCTGGCTGTGAGGTTCAGTTTGAAATTTAAATCAATTCAATAGCTGAGAGTGAATTTATTATTATTATTATTCTTTTAGAAACTAGTGAATGTAATGAAAGAGGCAATATAAGTGCATCTGGACACTTTAAATAAGTTCAGGTGTCTGGGGCCAGTGAGATGAAGTCTCAGAGTATAACATATTGGCCAGTGATCCGTCTCTTGGTAGTGATCTTTGAGGTGTGGGGGAGAACAAATGAGATCAATATCCCTGCCAGAAAAAACTTAGACAGACGTTGGGTTTTGGAGTTGGGGGTGTTTTGTGTATTTTTCCATGGTTTGCCAGAGCAGGGACAAGCAGGTAGAAGGAACAAAATGAAGTTTGCTGGCACCAGTGTCCCTGGATGAACTATGATACACTGTTAGCTTTGACCCTGGCCTGACATTCTCCAGTATGTTCTTCTTGAAGTTGTCGGCTCTTCTACATTAGTCGAAATATTAAAGGAGAGAAGCAACAGAATCCCAATCAGACTGTGAAGCAAGGTCAACAGTCAAGTCCATGAGGCTGAAGGACAACTCTCCACGAAGGCTTGTGTCGGCTGCACAAGCTTGGTATTGAGGGTACTGACGCTGGAGACCCATCACCAAGATGCAGGTCAATCCTACGATGAAGTCACTTTTTTAAAAAGCAGTAGAATTTTGGAGCACATTAGGAGAAAAGAGTGAAACCCCATGGTCTCTGCACGGTGAGGAAGGAGGCCTCTGGAGAGCTGTGAGCAATCCCAGGGAGACTGAAAAACCAGGATCCAAAGCACGAGTTCACCGAGTTCACCGGAGGCCAGGAGCTGCAATGATGGGGGTGGGAGGAGTGAGAGGTTAGGGCAAAGCCCAGGGAAGGAGCCACCCTCAACAGGGTGAGGCCACCCGAGGTGCTTAGTGCAGCAGAAGGAAGACCTCAAAGAAACTGTCCTCAAAAGTTAAAAGAGAAACAAAAAGTGAAAGGAATCCCTGGGTGGTACAAATAATTAAACACCCCACTACTAGACAAAAGATTGGAACCCATCTGCAGGCATCACGGAACAACAGGCTGCAGTCTGCCGCAGGCCTTTCCATCAGCCTTGGTCACGCTGTTCAACAGCTCGGCTCCGCACACACTGGTCACCATTGGGCGTACGTAGTCCACGCCACAGCAAATGGAACACTAGCCTCTCCCTTTTTAAAAAAATACTGGTTTACTTACAAAGTTTTTGTACATTGTTTTTCACACCAGACCTTTCCCATTTCCTTCATCCCCTCCCATCATCAAATTGTGAAGCCCTTTGATTAACCAACCCCCACCCCCTGCCCATCGTCACCCCTCTGCTCCCCCATCCCCTCTTGGATCCTCATATTCATGCTACAATAATGGTTTATACAGTATTTGTCCTTGTGGGACTGACTTAGTTCACTAGGCAGAATGCTCTCCAGTCCCTCCAAGTTAAGTAGTGATTTACAAAATCACTGCTCCTGCATGCTGCGTAGTATTTATTCCATTGTGTGAATGTACCACAGTCTCTCAATCCATTCCATTGTAGTTGGACATGCAGGTTGTTTCCTTGGTTTTTTGGTGGTGAATAATGCCACTATGAACATTGTTCTATAAGTCTTCATTTGACCAACACCTATTTGTAAAAGAAAACTGTAGTCTGTAATGCCTGTGTGGACAAAAGTAGAGCCAATGAATGAGAAGGAGTAAACTTTTATTCCTCAAAAAGACCTCTCAAAGAGTCACATTCAATTTTACCTAAGGTTTTGAATACAAAATTCCATTCCAGTGAAACAGATCAAGGTGATTCATAATTATGTATTTAAGGTGCACCTTAAAATTGGGTTTACATTTTCCAACACTGATACAAAGTTTTCCCTAATAAAATTTAAAAAAAAACCCTTGAATAAAAAAAAATCAGCTTAGTCTATTTAAAAAGATTATATAAATAATCAAATTTTAAATGTGACATAAGGAACTTTTTTTAAATGTTACATGAATAATAGGTAATAGTGGGCCCCACAACAGGGGAGGCATATAAATTGTGGAGAGCTCAGGAATAGTGCCTTCGGTTGGATTATTTCACCTTCAAAGTTCTTAAACTTTTTGTTTCAGGGTCTTTCTCCTGCTGAAGGAAATGCCTGCCGCATAGTTCTAGATGACTCATGCATTTATTAATAGAGGGGAAGAGGAAGATAAGGAGAATAAGACAAAGAAGGGGAAGGGGATGAATGGCTCCCCACTCTGCACCCATCAGTCGGCTTGTTTACCCTTAGAGTTCACATGGCACTGACACTTAAACAAGGAGGCATTCCATAGGCCAAAAAATAAATAGAAAGGAACCTAGGGAGGTTAAAAATAAGTTCAGGAAGTAACAAAATGAAACAACTAGGTAAATAGAAACAAATACAGCCAGAGAGGAATAATCTGACCACATAGTCAAGAGGTTGGGAAAGCGTGGACGTGCCAGGGAGGACATGCTGGCCAGGGCTTTCTCCAAAGATCACAGTGCAGTGACCCAGGTAACAGTGATGGCCCAGCCATGCTCAGGCTGCTCCCAGTCCTCTCTGCCCTCCTTAGCCTCTCCCCATTCCCTCTAACATCACCACCCAATTCCAACCGATCCATATTATGAAGATTGCACTGTGTCTCCTCAAAACGTGTTAAAATCATCTCTGTACCTGTTAAAAAGATGAGTGTTTGGAAATAGGAATTCTGTTATAAGGCCATGCCTTGGGTCCTCGACCTTGTCACTTTTGAGTTATAAAATGCAGACACAGAAACAGAGTGCATAGAAATGCCTAGGAACTCCTGGGGTCACCCACAAAGAAGGCTCTTCCCTGGAGCTTGCCAGGAATTCGGACTTCAGATACTTAAAGCCTCTCTGATGGTTCCTATCCTCCAGCTGCTCCACAAGAAAGATGGACAGTGTCCTCCTGTGCAATTTATAGACTCTGAAAATCCACTGGAGGGTCAGCTGAGTCAGTTCTAACTGGGCAGCATTGACCTTTTTTTTTTTTTTAAAGACTCATGAACTGTAGAAAATAAATTTCTGTTATTTAAAGATACTCATTGGTGGTGCTTCTTTTGGTTTTTGGGTTTTGCTGTAGCAGCACTTCTTGTTGTTGTTGTTGTTAGGTGCCATGGAGTCATAGGCGACTCCTAGTGACCCTGTGGACGAAAGGCCTGAGCACTTTTCATAGAGTTTCCAGAGGCAAGCCATTTCAGAAGTGGATGCCACTCCTGCTTCCAAGCTTGTTTTAATCAGGGAGCTCCACCAAACACTGTCCACCATGGGTAATCAGCATCACATTTCGCACATTAGTGTCACAGTAATCACGAGTTACCTCTGTACAGGAATGCACACTATAGAACTAAATCACCATGAGGATGAATTATGCATCCCATGTTTGACACTTCATGATATCCGAATCTTAGTGGGCAATGTAACCCAAGTAAAAACTATCAAAACAATTGTCAAGCTGTTGTTGTTGTTGTTAAGTGCCCTTGCGTAGACTGTGACTCACGGTGACCTTATGAACAATGGATCTGAACTTGTCCTGTCTTGCGCCATCCTCACCATCTTTGCCATCCTCAAGCCCTTAGTTAGAGTTGCTGTGTCAAGCCACCTCATTGAGGATCTTCCTCTCTTTTGCTAACTCTCCACCTTTCCAAGCATGATGTCTTTTTCCAAGAGATAACCCTTCCCAACTTGGATCCACAATCAACACCCTTGGAACAGTCAGGGAAACCAGGAGGCATTAAACAGGGGAAGTCTGCAGTCAAGGACCTCTTGAGGACTAAGGTGTGCCAGATTCAGCAAATGGTCTTTTCAGTCACTTGCTATGTACATGAGAACTGGACAGTTAATAAGGATGACAGAAGAACTGACGCCTTTGTGGGGGGGGTGTTGGAGAAGAATATTGAATATGCCATGGACTGCTGAAACCATAGATATGCCTTGGAAAACGTGTACCAAGGTGTTCCTTTGGAAACAAAGATGGTAACATTTTATCTTACATACATTGGGCTTAGGTTTTTATAGGGACCTCTCCAGAGTACTGAAGAGCAATGGTGTCACTCTGGAGACTAAGGTGCATCTGATACAGGCCATGGTCTTTGCAATCACTTGTTATGCGTTAGAGAGTTAGACAATGACTAGGGAGGATAGAAGGAGAATTGATGCCTTTGAGCTGTGGTGTTGGAGAAGAGTATTGAGTGCACCATGGACTGCTAAGAAAACAGACTCATCCTTGAGAGGGTTAAACTGGGCTGCTCCTTGGAGGCAAGGATTCTGAGGCTTCGTCTGACATACTTTGGACATGTTGTAAGGAGGGACCTGTCCTTGGAGAGGGACATCATGCTTGGTAGGGTGGAGGGACAGCACAGGAGGGGAAGACCCTCTATGAGATGGATTGATTCAGTGACTGGGATAATCAGGATGCGTG